AGAGCTGAATTTTCAAAATATAAAATGCAATTTCAATTTAGTGATGATCATTTTCAAGCCATGAATTCAAATTCAAATCGAACTTATTCAAATCCAGTTTCTGATGGCCCAGACTTCTGCCCATAGAATGATGCTGCTTGCGGGTCTGAATGTGTCAGGCCTGTCCCGTGGCACCCTCTGCCTGCTAACCCATCTCCTCCTAGCTTTACCACAGCAGCCACGACATGCAGCCATTAATGAAACCATGAGAAAACCGATCATCAGCCTGAGAGGCATGCACACAGACTGTCTCGGGACTTCCTGTCAGATCACCTTTTCTTGTGATGTCCTGCAGCAACACGTGCACAGAAACATCAGTTTCACACACACGGGGAATCGCTCTGACACGTTCTCCATCTTTAGACTGTTTGTGTCCGTAACTGTAAATAAGTCACTGCTTTTGTTTTCAGTCGATTTCAAACGACAGCAAAAATGTTTTACCAGGAAAAGTGATCACACAGCAGTGACCCCAGGTGGGAGAGGACGTGTACAGGCTGGAACAGGCTCTGCACAGAGACGTGATTAGCTCTTCCTGCCACCTGCTGCCTTTGACCGAGTGAAAGAAACGGTTGAACAAAGCTGCCAGTGTGTGCTGAGACGCACCGAACACGTTACAGCAAAGAGGACCAAACTGACCCAGAACATCTGTGTTTCTATTCGTTTGGACCTGCAGGCTGGAACAGACTGCAGCGTCGGCGTTCATGTGAAGCTCGGGCTGCAGAGATCGATGGCGTGATAAACAGCCCTGATGCAGACTGTGCGGGATCCTACTTCCTACCATGGACGTCATTAAAACTAATGTGCTCGTGTCAGTGGTGAGGCCCAGCTGTTCCTCCGTGCACAGCAGTGCAAACACTTATCACAGCATCGTGTTGCTGCAGCGCCACAGAAGGTTGGTCTGAACCCTCAGCAGCTTCTCACGCGCTGCAGTCTGCTGCTCCTTAGAGCGTCTGTGGTGAGGTCATCGCCCCCCTCTGGGTTGGGGTCACATTTACTCGTTACCATGGATACTGCAGCTTCCAGGCTTACTTCCTACAACCCAGACTAACATTTATACTCAACATATCACAGCTGTTACCTTTGGGAAGCTCCTGAACACGTATCATGTAAATGCATCGACCTTCTGCTTGTTACAAAATAAAACAAACTCTCTTTGACCTGTTTAATGGAAGTCTTCATCTATTTGTTGCTCACATTCATTTCTGTGCTTTGTCCTCCAACAGTAGAAGACTGAAGCATCATCATCATCGATGGCTGTACAGAGGGGACCTGTGGCATCTGTCAGCTGCAACAGCAAACAGCTGCACTGCCCACGTCTCGAACATTAACTGAGAAATCTTTTCAATAAATACTTCAAACTTTCAACAAACAGAAATTTCTTTAAACCATCTCGTAAAAAAACAAACGCATTGTCCGCTCGGCGCCAACGCTAAGCTCGCTGCTCCGTCTGCGCTGTAGTTTCTGGGTCAGAGTCAGAGTCCGTCTCGTCGTCTTTTTTCGGAGGCTCTGTGGCGTCCCGGCCGACTGCTACCACCCCCTTCCTCTGAGGCAGGACTGTGAAGAAGGCTTCCTGCCAGCTGCCTTTCTCCAGGTACGCCAGGATGATCTCGAACACTGCAGGAGAGAGCGCCGTTCAGACCACAGAGGCAGCAGCTGAGGCTCCTCCCCGCTCCGCGGGCTAAAGCCAGGGAGGAGCCACAATACAGGAAACATGATCCTTTAAATATCTGCACATTAAACTTGAGTAAGAGCAGGGGATGAAGCCACTCCCACTCCTTACCGTGGTTAACAGCCAGAACCTTCCGACTGTTCATCTTGACGAAGCTGCTCAGAGGAAGCTGGGCGTGGCTAATGCCCAGCTCTGTGGCCCTTTCAAAGGTGAGTCCCTGCAAACAAAGCCCGACAGGTTAGCCAGCGCAGCCACGCCCACACGCTACAGCGGGTCTGGAGCCGAGCACACCTTGTGGTGGTTGTGGTCCACCAGGCCTCCGATGACGTACGCCCTCTGTGGATCCAGCTCCGTCAGCACGTTGGGAGAGTCGGAGGTGAGGTAGACCAGCTGCTCCTGGGACACGACCTCAGTGTAGTGCTCCGTTTTAATGTGTATGTCCTGCACAGCACACAGCATCCAACCAATCAATGTGACAAACTGCTGGCATTGAACACAGCATCTTCAGCGTGGTCATCGTCAGCTCGGAGCGGCTCATGGACCCAATCATCAAGCTTTTTATTCTGGACTGTAATTTGTATTACTTCATGTTTATTCTAACGTTTCAAATTCATGTTTCCTGGGTCATGAGTTTTGGTATCTAGAATAAAATCCACGCATCGTCACCGCCCTCCATCTCATGTCAAGTTTAAATGTTAGTCAGAGGGGTCCAACTCCAGCCTCGAGTGTCCTGCAGGTGTAAATGACCTCCTCAGCATGAGAAATGAACTCATGTGAGTCAGGCGTGCTGACCCAGGGTGAGATCTAAAACCTGCAGGCCCCTCGAGGCCTGGAGCTCCCTGCTCTGAAGGCCTCATGTTAATCGTGTGCAGATGGAGCTGATATAAAGTGGTGAGGGCAGACGCTGACTCCTGAGCATCCTGTGGGTGTGAACTACAGGTGACGCCACCGTTTCATGAACTTAAACTGGAAATCAGACATAACGCTGTAAAGTTCCAGACCTCTGTTGGACCTGCTCACCTTCCAGTTCACCCAGCCTTTGTCCTTCTCGTCCATGCTCTGTCTCAGCTGTCCTCCTAGGCTTGTCAGGTAAAACTGGACACATGAGAAGAAGTTAGAAGATGTTTGACGCCACATGAAAAACTGTTATTACTGCCTGTTACTCTTCTTATTTTATATTCGACCCAAAGCCAGTGGAGACGGTTTGGGATGAAGACCAACAAGTGCTCAGCATCTCATCATGAAGCTCATCCAGAGGATGCAAAGCATGTCGCAGCGACATCCACATCCAGATGTTGGCTCAGCTGTGGTCAAAGTCTTGACCAGGAAGAGTTGTTAGTGTGTAAACATGAGCACATGTGCTACCTGACGCCACGTGGCTGCAGCGTCCTCAGTGTCGTCTGTGCTCTTATTGCTATTAAGTAAAGTTTCTGCACTAAGTATTTTCAGCTCTGCACAGTTAGGACAGTATTTTATAAGCTAGGCTAGGACAGCGTGTGGTTGGTAAACAGGGAGGTAACCACTGACAGCTCAAAGACGTGTCAGAATCTCACCACCCTCTAAACACACCACAGATCCACCCGTGAACTTCATGCTGTGCATGTGAAACTGAAGCCAGGTCAGTGGGGGGTTGGTCCTCACGTGCAGATACAAGCTCGTGTCCTTCACACGAGTCCACGGGCTGCTCCGAGCAACTGAGAACGTCATCACAAAAACAGTATCATCGTTATCATCGTCACGTGCTCGGCACCAACCTGCACTGGATGCGAGGCCCGTCTGTTCTCTGCGTAGCACCTCTGGATCTGTTTGTGAAGTTTGCGCACGTCCTGAAGAAACAGACAGTGTGTTGGGAACTCTGGGAGCACAGTCGCAGCGCCTACACCTCTGACCCGGTTACCTTAATCAGCATGAGGCTGTCGAAGCTGCAGTCCACCACCAGCCTCAGAGAGCTGGGCGTGGCCTCTCTGCGCGCACGTTTGCGGGCGCTCTGGACCTCCCCGCCCTCCTGGTGATTCTGCCTCTGCAGGCGACGCTGCTGCTTCCTCTCCTTTCGCCTCTGCCTGCCATGAAAGCGAGGATGATGTTCAGCACGTGTGTGGGCGTGGTCTGCATGGACTGAACACTGGGTCCACTGGGGGAAGCTCAAACCTCCCCATCAGGACAGAGTGGGTCAGAGCCGATGCTCACTGAGCCAGTCTGTGTTTTACCTGATAACTAATTCATTACTGGATCATTGGTGCCATTATTAACTATACTGATTTAGAGGGGAGGATATTTGGACTGGAGGAAGGATGGATCAAATGTGACATAAAGGTGTCCTACAGCAGCAACCTTTTGTTTGACAGTCTCACACACTGAAGGACGCGAGGTGTGTGAGACAAAGGTCAGCACGAGCTTTCAAGCTCACGCCTGTTTGTGCGCATGCACATTCATCTCACAGTGGATCAGTGTAACAGCTCAGCAGGCCCGTGGAGGCCGTTGTTCTGGCAAAACGTCCTGCTGTAAGTAGTTTATGCACATTTCTGCTGTCACACAGTAATTCCAGCACAAATGTAAGTAGGTATGACAGTTTGCCACTTAACTGTGCCCATCAGAGTGTGCTTGTAGCTCACATTCATAAAGCCAGGACGGTTTGCCACTTCGTTTTACCCGTTAAAGTGTGCTTGTAGGTGACATTCACAAAGGTAGCATGGTTTGGCACGTAATTTCACCTGTCAGAGTATGTGTCTAGGTGTTATTAACAAAGGTAAGATGACGTGCCACTGAATTCTTACTGTAAAATGATGCTTCTAGCTCACATTCACAAAGGTAGGACGCTCTGGCAATTAATTTTACCCGTCAGAGTATGTTTGTAGCTTATATTCACAAAGGTAGGCTCGCCACTGAATTTCATGTTGTGCGCATGCGTAGAAACAACGGGTAGGATGGATTCCCACCGTGACTGTTCTCTGCGTGTTTCGCGCCACAGCTTACTTCCGCTGCTCGCGCTCTTCCTCCCACTTCTGCTGCTTCAGCAGTTTCTTCTTCTGCCTCTTGGACAGAACCGGGTCTTCCGGGTCTCCGGGACTGCTCACAGCCTTCTCGCTTTGGTCTCCCTCCGCCGAAGCTGGCTCTCCCGTGGTGTCGTCAGCCGTCTGTGAACACACCGCTGTGGTCATGTCTGCGCTGCTGACGTGCAGCCCACATTAAATGACTTTATAATGTGGGCTAAAACGGGTCAGTTAGCCTGGCACCGACGAACAGACGAACGAGCGGCTCACCTCGAGTCCACGCTTTGTTTGGGCGCATTTGTGACGTTTTTTGTGCGCGTCACAAGCTCGCGTTAAGATGCAGTGCTGCCCTCTACCGGTCGTACTAACAAAGTGAAGCAGATTTCATTGAATTCACAGATTTGACTGTTCAAGCTTCCTTTAAAGCATAAAACCGACACAGATGCATTTACTTTCACTCTGGTTTCATGGAAACATCGCTGCTTTCATCAGTAACAGCATCTGATCACAATTTGTACTTTTATTTTTTTATTCCTAAACGTGTTGTTTGTCTCTCTGAAGGCAGTAAAACCAGACTCATTAATCTGATTTTACTGCACATCCATAAATGTCCTCCGCTCTCAGGACGGGAACATTATTCTACAGTTATGTCCTGTAACAACAAGGAAGCTTTAGAAACTTTAGTATTTGTAATAGTTTTCATGTCTTTAATTATTCCACGTCTCGCTTTCCCCTTTAGCATCCACTAATCAACGTAAACATCTTATCTTTGCAAACATAGCATTTAAACATGTGAAACATAACTGTGACACTGTTAGTTGTTATAAACTGAGTCAGTCAGAGTTTTCCTGTTTATTCAGTTTTCACAGTAAAAGTGAACCTGACACTGCAGCTGTGCAAACAGCTACAGTCATCCTGGTTGTTTTTGCACATTTATCGTTTCATCCACAGGTCCTCTTTATTCCCACGCTCCCGTCTGTCCTTCATCTACCTTCAACATTTACTGTGCGCAGCAGAGACTCTGCTCTGAGGCAGCAGAGACTCTGCTCTGAGGCAGCAGAGACCCTGCTGTGCAAAAACGCTTTCACACTTATAGAAAACATTTCCTACTTTATGCAAAAGTTAAAAAAAAGAAAGACAAATCATGCACAACCAGAAACATGACACGAACCAAATCTGATCGAATCCCCAGGAGAAGACAGCGACACTGTAGCAGTGGGACCATGGAGCTCTAAGAAACAGTGTCCACTCTTAAGACTGAATGAACTCAGAGGTGGTTCATCCTCCACAAATACACAAACACAGATGTCGTGTTTGTGAGGCACGAGAGGAAACTGTTCGACTCTTTTTCTGATAACAGTGCAGCAGCAAAGCTGAGAGTCAGGTACAAAAGTATAAAATATTATCAGCTTGGGTAGAAACGTATGTTTGATGCTTCTGCTGTATATCTGTAACAGGACACTAAACACGTGACAGTAAAACAGTCAGCAGAAAAGCTCCAGCTCTGTAACCTGTCATGTTTCCAACAGAAGAAAACGGACTGTCCAGCAGACCCACTGCACAAACTCCAACGTGCAACCACAAACAGCAACCTCAGTTTGAACATAACGTCTCATAACTTCATGTCACGCACATCTGCAAAGTTCAGGAAGTGTAACAGCTGGACAAGAGTAACTATTCATCGATTTCACAACCTCACAGTTTGGTTTCTACACATGATTCGGCTCATTCAGCTCCTGTGTGAGTGTGTCCACACCGTCCAGCTTACAGCTCGGCCCTGTGGGGACACAAAGAAACACACGTCAGCACACGTCAACAGGTTTGTACATTTGTCGCGCAGCTTTCCTCCTATTCTGTAGAACAGCGAGTGCCTTTCCACCGCACACTATCTGTTTACGTTAAAAACGTTAGTGAGCGCTCCAGTATGTGGGTCAGACCCTGGAGGGGAACTCCAAATGTCCCCTCACTGTACCGCTCAGCCGTCAGAGCCACGTGAACCTCACCCTGCTGCTCCTATAAAAAGAGCCTGAGCCTGCAGGATGTGCCAGCCCGGCTGCTGATACCCAGCAGCAGCTGAAGCTTTTCCATCCTCACACGAATGCCTGCCTGACCTTTCACTCTGGCTGCACACACACAGCTGATCCAACCACATCTCTGCTGTGATATCGCATCTTACAGGATATCTGTCAGTGTTAGTTAGCTGCAGGCTTTACAGTCACTCCACATCTCTTCTTCTTCTGTTCGATATGATGCACAGCATCCTGTTAGATCACTGACTTCATGCATTAAGTGAAACGTGTGGTGGAAAAGCCAAAACTCATTTTTAGGAAATGCAAACATTCATGAAACAGTCCCCATATTGTTTTCTGATTTATAGTTTTTATTCTTATTTTCTTTTCCTCAGGCTGGCAATGAGACGCCCTCGTTGTTCTGCGAGCACGGACAGGTGACAACAGTGTGGGTCACGATGTGCAGAAACATGTTTGATAACTCATCCATAAAATCAGCTGCAATAACTACATGTGATGTGCTGCGAGCCTCTGTCTCCTCCTTTTGTTGTCACCATGTTTTCAGAACTACTGCACGGATCATTTCACTGACTTTATGTCTCCATAGTTTGCAGTTTGCAGCTTTTAGGCTACATTATATTTCAGTGTATCCTATAAATAAGTGTTTCCTCTGAGATTAGTTATGTAAAACTCTCCACTGCGCCCTCAGACATGCTTCGGTAAAAGGGAAGCAGTCAGATACTCACCTGTCCAGACGACCTGCCGTTCATCGGTGCTCCACCATGAAGCTCATAGTCGTCCCGTCAAATGAGGGGGGGGCGATGATCCGGGGCCCCTGCTGGGAGCTGATGCTGATGACAGGCTGCTTGATGCTAGAGAGGCCCTGCTGTGGCCTGTTAGCAGCCTGCTGAACACCTGAGGCTACCTGGGAAGACTTTCCGGTGGACATGTAGAAAGGACTCTCCACGTGCATGCCCTCGGTCTGCTGCGAGGAGCTTTTATCGCTGCTGTCCACCTCTGCCTGCACCGACATCTGCGACTGTAGCAGCGCCCTGGCAGGTATCACTGACGGCGTCGGCACGAGACCCGGGTAGATCATGTACGTGTGGCCGTAAATGCCAGAACTGAGGGCTAAAGGTGAGATGGGCATGGGCACAGGTGTCATGGGAGGCTGTGGCAAAGGCACATCCACATATTGACCTGTTTCTGGATCAAAGAGACGCTTGGTGGCAGGCTGCACTGGTGTGTCTACCAGGTAGTAGTTGCCAGTGCTGGGATCCAGCAGCATTTTCCTCTGGGTGGCCTGGAACGGGTCCAGGGTGGGAGCCGGGGTGATTGCTGGAGAGAAGCAGTAGACCTGTGGCTGATTGGCGGGCATCCCGAGTGGCAGAGAGTGGTAGATAGTAGCTGAGGGGATCTCTGGTGAGTAACTAGCTGTGTGCTCCTCGTGCCCTCTGAGCCCAGGTTCCAGGTGTCCTGAAGGTGTGGCTGGATGTGACCGGGTGAACGTGTAGACGGACGCTTTATCAGGCGGCTGTTTGCCTTTGCTGGGCTGAGACTTGACTGGGATAGCGAGGTAGTTCTCACTGTCAGTTGAAAACTCGTGTGCAAACCCGTCGGCCTCCCTCACGTCGGCGTCTTCGTTCCCAGCTGACCGTCTCTCACAGATGCTGAAGGATGCGGGCGGTTTGGGGACGAAGGTTTTGGTGCTGAAAGGTGTTTGTGTGACGGTGTTCGGTTGGGATGTCTTTGAAGTTCTGGAGGCCTTGACACTGCTGGGGGCTTGCACTGACTTAGGCCTGTCATCACAGCCCACTGATGTGGGGCGGGGTTTGAGTGGGTCTTTCTGCTCCTGCTTCAGCAGGCTGTCACCTGCTCGTCCTGCTGGGGGCTTGTCTGTGTTGGACTGGGAGTTTCTTCTGGCAGACTTGTCTGTGCTGGGCGTCCATGCAGTCTCCTCTCCGTGTCCTGGATGCTCCTCACATGCTATCAGTGAAAGCAGGTGGCTGTCTGTCAGCGGCCGAGCCTCGTTCTTCCTCTTCCACTCGTTCTTTTCAAATACATAGAGCTGCTCCATGGTTTTCACAGCAGCCTGCAGTTTTTGCAGAGCCGCCTGGTTTGGCACCTGTGACTCGGGCTTTTTATCAGTGATGTCCGATACTTTTTCTTGCCTCCTTGTAGATATTCTGCTTTCACTTCGGTCGGTGTTTCCCTGCGAGGCATTATTTGAGGGGCCTAGAGATGCGCTCCCTGTTGCCCTTGATGCGTTTTTGACGCCCTCTGGAGACGATCTGTCCACGTCAGGTGACTCCTGTTTAGCCCCGTGAAGGTTTCCACATTGTTTTCCGTTACTGCTCGTGTTCACAGACTGGCACTTGATCACTATAGGCGACACAGTATTGAAGCTTTGATTGGGCACTTGCTTGTTTTGCTCTGGATGTCTGTCAGCGGAGGCGCTGTGGGGTTTATTCTCGTTATCCAAAGAAACGAAGTGATACGAACTTTTAACCAGCTTACGCACGTCTCTCACTTGGTAAATGGGAGTCTGCAGCTTCCCCTTATTGTCTCGAATGTCTCGGACCATGAAATGTGGAACTTTATCTGAAAAGTCACCCTTCAAAGCTGTAGCGAGCGCGTGGGATTTGGCGTGATCTGTTCGGATGATGTTGCAGCCTAAATTAGGAGCGCGCAGTTTGGAGACGGCGCACGGCTCGGTGCTATCGTCTTTGACGCGCCTCAAGTTAATTTGAAGTTCTGGAGATTTGGATGTTTTCGCAGAGTCTGCGACAGAGCGTACTTTGGCTCCACGTCCGTGTCCACACGTAGAATAATTCCTGCTCTGCTGCGTGGCTTCGCCTTCGTTCGGCAGCATTTGGATATTTGGCACAAATAAATGAGCCATTTTCTTCAGTTTGCTGCTGCCCGCCGAGTACAGACTCCCCTCGGCCAGCGTGTCCTCTAGTGTTTGATCGTTTTCAGGATCCTTTTGAAATTCTAGCTCGTCATCCTTCCAGCATCTGAACGCGCTATTTTGGCTGCGATGCAGCGTGCTTCTGGATGAGTCCACTGCGCCTTTTTTAGTATCAACTCCAGTTTGTTGCTTCCGAGAGTCGCTCTTGGCATCCGCTATGTCCCCTAACTCATTCACGCGCATTATGCTGTAGTCCGAGCTGCTGTCGGGAAGCTTGGAGTTGTGCTTCGCTCTGACGTCGTCGCTTTCCTGGCGCAGAAAGCTGGGAGAGGGCGTTTGCTGCGGCTCGCTTATTTCGCCTCTCTCCATCTTGCGCTCCTGCTCGAACTGCATTTTCTTAGAAATGACAT